GCAGCACTTTGTTCAGAAGTCATCAGCCTCTCTCCACGTTCAGCAGGAATACTGGAGAAAGCTGCCATGCTGTGCTGCATGTTACCTGACCAACTCACGTTCACGGACTGGGGAGCTGGCATATAGTGGGGAAGGGGCTGCTCAGCTTTACTTCTGCTTGAAAAAACGGGGCTGAACAGCTGGATCCTTCTTGCTGCCACCACTGCAGTCCTTTGGCTGTGGCAAGTCACTCAACTTGCTTCTTCTCAATGGATCCCACCCACTGCCACTGCTGTACCTTCCTCAACCTAGATGTTGTTGTTGTTGCTGCTGCTAGTCACGAAGTCGCGTCCGACCCATCGCGACCCCATGGACAACGTTCCTCCAGGCCTTCTGTCCTCCACCATCCCCCGGAATCCACTTAAGCTCACACTGACTGCTTCAGTGACTCCATCTAGCCACCTCATCCTCTGCCATCCCCTTCTTCTTTCCCCGTCAATTGTTCCCAGCATTAGGCTCTTCTTCAGTGAGTCCTTCCTTCTCATTAGGTGGCCAAAGTAAGACTGACTGTTTTGATAGCCTTGCAGTCCAAGGGACTCGCAGGAGTCTCCTCCAGCACCACAGTTCAAAGGCCTCAATTCTTCGGCACTCAGTCTTCCATATGGTCCAGCGTTCACAGTCATGCATTGCAACTGGGAAAACCATAACCTTGACTATATGCACTTGACTCAGCTATCTGTAAAGCTTCCTCAGACAGCCATTTTGCTTTCTTGCATTTCCTTTTCTTTGGGATGGTTTTTGTTGCTGCTTCCTGTACAATGTTGTGAACCTCCATCCATCGTTCTTCAGGCGATCTGTCTATGAGATCTAATTCCTTAAATCTATTTGTCACCTCTACTGTATATTCATCAGGAATATGATTTAGGTCATACCTTAATGGCTTAGTGCTTTTCCCCACTTTCTTCAATTTAAGCCTAAATTTTGCAACAAGAAGCTCATGATCTGAGCCACAGTCAGCTCCTGGTCTAGTTTTTACTGACTGTATAGAGCTTCTCCATCGTTGGCTGCAGAGCACATAGTCAATCTGATTTCTGTGTTGACCATCTGATGATGTCCATGTGTAGAGTCATCTCTTGGGCTGTTGGAAAAGAGTGTTTGCTATGACCATTGTATTCCCTTGACAAAATTCTACAGCCTGTGCCCTGCTTCATTTTGTACTCCAAGGCCAAACTTGCCTGTTATTCCAGTTATCTTTTGGCTTCCTACTTTAGCATTCCAATCCCCCATGATGATAAGGACACAATTTTTTGGTGTTGGTCATCTGAATTAAATTCACCCATTCCTGTCCAACAACATTCCTGTCCATTCCTGCCAACAAAAGTGTGTATAGTCAAGGCTATGGTTTTCCCAGTTGCAACGTATGGCTGTGAAAGCTGGACCATAAGAAAGGCTGAGTGCCAAAGGATTGAGGCCTTTGAATTGTGGTGCTGGAGGAGACTCTTGCGAGTCCCTTGGACCACAAGGCAATCAAACCAGTCAGTCCTAGAGGAGATCAACCCTGACAGCTCCTTAGAATGCCAGATATTGAAGATGAAACTCAAATACTTTGGCCACCTAATGAGAAGGATTCCCTGGAGAAGAGTCTAATGTTGGGAACAATAGATGGCAAAAGACGAAGGGGACAGCAGAGGATGAGGTGGCTAGATGGAGTCACTGAGGTGGTTGGTGTGAGCTTGGGTGGACTCCCAGAGATGGTGGAGGACAGGAGGGCCTGGAGGAGCATTGTCCATGGGGTCACGATGAGTTGGACATGACTTCACGACTAACAACAACCACAACATTCCTGTCCATTTTAGTTCACTGATTCCTAAGATGTTGATGTTCAGTCTTGTCATCTCCTGTTTGACCACATCCAGCTTGCCTTGATTCATAGATCTTACATTCCAGGTTCCTATGGAGTATAGATCTTTACAGCATCGGACTTTCCTTTCACCACCAGATACATCTGCAACTGAGTGTCCTTTCGGCTTTGACCCAGTCGCTTCATTCTTTCTGGCACTACTAGTACTAGCCCTCCGCTCTTCCCCAGTAGCATATTGGACACCTTCTGACCTGAGGGGCTCATCTTCTGGCGTCATATCTTTTTGCCTTTTGGTACTGTTCATGGGGTTTTCATGGCAAGGATACTGGAGTGGGTTGCCATTTCCTTCTCCAGTGGATCAGCTTTTGTCAGAGCTCTCTGGTATGACCTGTCTGTCTTAGGTGGTCCTGCGTGGCATAGCTCATCTCTTTATTGAGCTACACAATCCCCTTCGCCATGACAAGGCAGTGATCCATGAAGGGGAGGACAAACTAGTAGAGGCATGTTTGTACAAAGAAGTAAAAGTTTGTAAACAGGGTGGATTTATATAACAACCTCAACAGCAAACATCACCTCTTAACTTTACCTGACTACCATTGCAGGACTCAGAATATTCTAATTTCAGTGTTACTGAACATGTTTTGCCACATGTTTGTGGTGGTTGCCATCTTTCCCCTGCCCCACAATGCCTGAGAATGAAATCACAAAATCATCCTCCATCACAGGAAAAAACCAGAAGAAATAACATCTATAAACCCTTCCCAAGGGAGCAGCAACTACCCACCAAAAATGTGAGATCAATTTTCCTCTCCTCCCCCATACAATGTGAAATAGCATCACAAATTCCTTCTCCATTATTGGTCGTTCAGATACATTTCTCACTAGGTCACTAAGATACATTTCTACTTTAGGTACAGTCAAACAGAAATTCTATTTTTCAAAATTACTTTCCCAAGCCAGTAAAAATTATTGGTTTCTAGAACTTTCCAGAAGCTGGTAGCTATTGAGAAGAGTGTTTGTCCATGACTTGGAAATTAAAGGTCTTTGCTGTTTAGTTGATAAAATAAATGTTCACAATTTGTACAATGATGAATACCATAACCTATCATTTCATTTATGTAACACTGGCCCTTCAGAAATAACCCAGCTTTTCTTCAGGTTATAGCCACTCTGCTATTGTACAGCTGCATTTAAGGATTTGTAGAGGAAAAGCAGGCAAGGAAGAGCTCTTGTGTGTTGCTCAGATCTCAGTATTGTGACAAAACCAAAAGTAGATGCAGCCTGTTATAGAAAAGTCCCATGTCTGCCTTCAGTGTTGTATTTCATGACATGTACCATCAAAATCTTTCTCCTCTTTCCAGTATGCAGTTTGTCACTATTTATGTACCTCACTCTCAATAGCCCGACTGAAAGTATATAGGGGAAACAGGTGTGTATGCAGTTAGTTGGCTATTGCTCTTTAGTGTCCTGTGAGTTAATGTTCTTCCAATCTGCTGAGGAAAAGGACTTGATTTGAACGACAAAGGGAATATGTCTTAACCCTTCTCTTAAACCAAAGGTGTTTTTAAACATTAGAATTCCCTTGATTTTGCAAAGGTATCTCATAGATAGAACCTCCATGAATCTACATCTACAAACAATCACCAAAGACATACCTGTGCAATCATATCACCATTTGCTGAGAATATACAGAATGCTTTTTCTTTGTGACTTATAACAATATTCTTTTACAATCACATAGGATCAAGAAGCAAGGCTGGCAAAGCATATACTGAGATTCTAAAGTAGGAGGCTTCAGATGAGCTACCTCTTTGCAGAAAACAAGCACCCCACTGCCACCACAAAAGTTGAAAGCATGACACACACAAAGTATCCATCCCAGCCACAGTTCGGACTGCATTATACAAATTCAACCCCTCCCTCTCTGCTCTTAGGACTTAATTGTGTGAGAACTCAACACTAGAATCTATTTATAACATTAGAGCTGGGCCATAACATATGCAAGGATCTCATAAAGAAAACTCCACAGGGGTTGCCTTGTTAAACGAGAGTCTTTTGGCACCGTAAAGACCAACAAATTGTGGCATAAACTTCCATAAACACTCACCAATTCTTTAGATGTCTGAAATGTTAAACTGAAATTGGCAGATTTATATACATATGCTGTGGAGGGGGTAAGATGTAAATTGTGTTGTCAGAGGTAACAGATGGTAACTGGGTTTGCAAAACATGACTGTTCACTATGGCTTATGTGGAAACCTGGGACACATTTGTCAGCATGGCTTATTTTGTTATTTATAAGCTACCCTGACAATCCCCAACTTGTAGCTGGAGTTGCTTGATCCATGATGGACTGTTGTGTCACCTGAACTGACCCATCTTGGATCAAGCCCAATGAAAAGTGAACTGTGTGACAGGAGTGACAAAATCCTTCTGCCACTCTTGCAGCTAGGTGGTGAGTACTGCTGAAAGCCACCTCTGAAGTGCTGAAGTAGCCCTTGGGATCAGCTAACAGAGGCTTCTCCAGCTTCCCTTTCAGGATAGTATTGGTTAACAGGGAGAGATCTACAGTTAATTCTGAACCCTGATTTATCCATATTTGATTTATGCTAACTGAATATAAACTAAAAGTGGCATTTTCAAAGAAGACTCAATAAACATGAGAAGGGTTAAGTCCATACCTCTTCTGTCCTGAATTATTTCCTGCAAATTCCCTCTCTCTATTTTTATTAATATTAAGCAAAAGACATATGGATTAGGGTGACTTTGGAAACACATTCAACCATTGTCCCTATGCAATAATAATAAAAGCAGAAGATATATTTGAATATGCATATACCAATATATGCTTATATAGTTCTAATATATGCTTATATAGTTACCTATGATCACATTAGGTAATAAACATGTAAAAACCATTTGCTGAATGGTGATTATCTTCCAGTTCTTAAGGAACACCAATGTTGGTGTAAAGTATTCAGCTATGGTATAGAATTTAGAATGACCCATCTTTCACCTAGGCATAAACAGTATATCAAATCTTTATTTTCATTGTTGCAAGATTTGTAAGAAACTCATCATTGTAACACATTCTCTTTCTGTTTGTGTTTTGTGTGTTTGTGTGTGTGTGTGTGTGCATGCACATGTGTGTGTTTTAAAGGAAACTTCCATTTTATCATCTGCAGTCTTACCAGCTAACTCAGGTAAGAAACAATGACATTTTTGCTAGATGTTAACATATTTATTTTTATAATAACTAATAATAGCAATAATGAAGTAGAGGAAGAAGAAGAAAATGCAAATTGCAGGCTATGGTCCATATCAACAAGACTGTAATATTTATTTGAGGATGAAAATCAAAACACTTCAACTTAAGAAGCATTAATAATTCCATTCATTTGCAAAATTCTTGACAATTACATATCACACAAACAGTAAACACATCCAATAGTTTCTCTAAGTTTCTCATTTGCAATTTAGTCTGAATGTGTTCATGTGTTTCCTTGGTCTTTGAATCCTGATCTTCTTTAAAGACTGGGTAGGTACATGTGCACACACTCCTACAAGCCTGCTTGGTCCAGTGGTGACCATTTTACATGTGAGAAGATAACTCTAGCCTTGCAGAAACTACCGGCTAATTGGCCATGTGCTGTTTAAGATGAATTTGCCAACACTTGCCCACTCCTCCTCCTCTCTGATGGCTTCTTAGTGTGCATTCAATAAGTTCTTCAATATAAAAGATTTAAAACATTGTAAGTTTAGGAATCACCAATGGGTTTTTGCTAGTTTATCAAAGGCAGACCTCTGAATGGTTTGCAAGCTAAGCTAAAATTGCAAAGCAGAAACAGAAGCCTTGTTTACAGCAGGTATAAACATAGTTGGAATTGGGGCCCCTCACAACTCAGAGCTAATGCTTTCAGATGATGTGACTCAAGCATTCCTTACTGGCTTTTTCTCACATTTGACAAATTATATACCTCTAAGGTGTCAGTTCTTTTGGAAGTTTATACTTAAAACATTGCCATAGTTTAATAGAATATTCAGGTCTTAAAATAATAAAATGCTGATAAACCTAGTGGTCTTTACTATATAGTCACTCCTACTGCTGTATGGGACTGCAGGTGGTGCAGTGGTTTAAACCTCTGTGCTGCTGGGCTGGTTGATCAAAAGGTTGCCGGTTCGAATCTGCACAACGGGGTGAGTGCCTGTTGCTCTGTCCCAGCTCCTGCCAACCTTGCAGTTCGAAAGCATGCAAATGCAAGTAGATAAAAAGGTAGCACTTCAGTGGGCAGGTAACAGCATTCCGTGCACTTCAGTGTTTAGTCATGCCGGCCACATGACCACGGAGACCGTCTGCGGACAAACGCTGGCTCCCTCGGCTAGGAAACGGAGATGAGCATCGCCCCCTAGAGTCAGGCATGACTGGACATAATGTCAATGGGAAACCTTTACCTTTACTTTTACTGCTGTATACTTTATTTTGACTTGTCCTTAGAGCATGTTACAGTTTTTAAAAATCCTAGATGTGCAACGAAAATAACTCTGAACACTTGGCCAAATTAAGGGGCTGCTTATATATTAGAAACACTTGTTTAAAAGTTCTGACAAAATTATTTTGTATATTCTATAAGAGCCATACCAGCTTCATGAAGTATCATTGTTGTGGTGCAAAGGTTCAGTTTTAATTCCCATCAGCTGTTTTACCACCCCACTGCACCCATAGGGACTGATATAGAGAGAGGCACTCTCTGAATCTGACATCTGGGTTTCAGACCATGAAGATATTTTAAATTAGCAGCCTAATTGGGCTTGAAAGCAGACTTGTCATCAGTTCAGATCAGGATAAATATCCCTATACCACCCAATAGTCTTAAATTATCAGGCAGTCACATGTTTCACTAACTGAAGCTTCCAAGGGAAATCCCGTATAGAAAGCACTACCATTGCCAAGCACAGAACTTATAAAAGCATTTACTGACTGCTTATTGAAGAGCGGTGCTGTGTTTAAAAGCATTCCAAGGCCCCATCAGTCTCAATTCACATTCCCAGTTCGGGCAATCATGCCAGAAAGATACCATAGATAGTGGTATCATCCTATGAGGCCTTCCCACCAGGTCCACACAGGCCCCTGCTAAGTCTTTTCTCTGAAAGCCTTCCCTCCCTCCCTCCCTGTGCCCCAGAACTGAGAAGAATGCAGAACTACACTTGAGGAACCTTGAAGCAATAGGTCCCTGAGGGTAAACTGGCCCCCTGCCTGCTGCATTGAAACCACTGTTCCAAAGTACCTGGAATTCCTTGAACAAATAAGTTACCAGAGGTTGATAAATGCTGTAAAAAATTCCCTTTACTTAGTTGAATGTGTTTCTTTGTTAAATAGTCCAGCATAATCTTGGCAGTTTTTTTTCAGTTCCTTTCCTAATTCTGCCCAACAGAGAATTTGCTATTTTCACAGCAGCTGCACACAGTTAAAATGTTTTCATCAAGCTGTTCAGCACAGCCTCAGGATCTCTTTCTTGGTCACTGATCCCATCAGTTTATACTTGAATTTGAGATTTTGCTTTGCTTTTTTTGTCCCAATGTCATCACTTCACTTTTGTTTATACTGAACAGTATTTGCCACTCGGTGCCCATTCAGTTTGGAGCAAGCCTTTTAGAGCTCTTCGCAATTCCTTTTTGTTTTAATTGTCATAAACAATGTGATGCATCAGCAAGCTTGGCCACTTCAATGCTCACTCCTAATTCCAGATTATTTATGAATGTGTGAATTGTGTGTGTATTACGTAGGTATGTACTAAGTGTGTCTGGGCAAGCACATTGCTAGCAGAAGTAATATGAATGAAATGCTGGACTGGATGGGCCATTGGTCTGATCCAGCATGGCTTTTCTTATATCCTTATATAGCAACTAGGTCTGGTTGCTTCTAGGACTTCTCTGCTACAGATTTAATTGAATTGTTATGTCCAAGGCTGACACTAGGCTGAGCTACTTTATCAACAAAGATAAAGTAGCTCCTACATACTGGCTTATAGTTGGTTGCTGTCTGGTGCATCATATTTGGGGGCCTGTTAGAAGAGTTGAAGAGTTCATCTGGATGCAGTTTGGGTGGTCCAATGCTGGAGGAGAAAAATGTTTCTCTGCTGCCATCACTGTGACCACATTGGCATTCATTTACACTCTGTGCCTTCCTGGATGAGAGTCAGTGTGAGTCTTACACCACTTTTCCTTCAGCAATATCTCATCCTGCTTTATAGTTCTCAGCTGTCCAGTATATTAAGGAGCAATTCTTCTAAAAGATTTGAAAAGAGGGATCCAATTGTTCCAGTTAGCCGCCACCGCCATCCTGATAATCTCCTGCACCATGCTGCAGAGCATCATGGAAACAGACAGGATCAATAGAATCTTCAGGTACCAACTGTTGTAAAATGCACAACTATGGTGGAAGGAAGTAGCCTGCCTTATATATGCCCTGAGCAGGTAGTGATCTGACCCTGACAATATTTCACATTTCATATTAATTGCATTCATCACAATGTCACCAGAATCCAGTCTAGTATAGAAGTATACATCCAGCATGTTTAGGGCCATAACAAACTGGGACAGGCCCATGCTAACCATGGAAGCCAAAAAGGTCTGGGTTGTACCTGACAAGAAGGCCTCAGCATGAATGCTGAAGAATTAATTGGGGCATAACCTCTATGTCCTAAGCCATCTCTATCAGCTCACTCAGGGAGTTATTGGAGGATGGTACACCATTAGAATTCCCAATTAGTCCTGAATCCCAACACAGTTATCCAGTAATAGACCCCTCTCATGGCAGCCTTGTCATGATTGCATCTCCCCCTGGTGCTGTCAGGTAAAGATAGATCAATACAAGAAAGTGATTTGTTGATTCTTTTACCTCTCAGATGCAGTGGCAATGTGGAAGGATCAGACCACTGTGGCTTGATGTAGAGAAAATAATATTGGAATTCTGGGGAAAGATACTGCTCTGTCTCATAGAATGGCACTTCTGATTTATTTTGGGAATGGACTTCTGTCAAGCAGGAAAATATGCATTTGGTGGTGAATCTGTTAGTGGCAGCCAGGATGTAGATTACCAAAAACAAAGGTATTTTCAGATCCTTGTTTATCAATAATTGGGAAGAGAGGTTCCCTCAGAAGAATATCCATGAACGAGCCTAATCTATGCTACAATGACTTTGCATGCTGAATCAGACCAAATGGCCACCTAGTCCAGTATTCTTTTCCCTCTGTGGATAATCAGATGTCTCTGGGAAGTCCATGAGGAGGACATGAGAGCAATAACATTCTCCTGCTCATTTCTCCAGCAACGGTATGCATTGGCGTGCCATTTCTCATACTGGAGGGTTCCTTTATCTATCTAATAATTTTCTAGGTAATTCCTGATTCACTTATAGCACTTGTACAAATGATATATTACTTATTTTGTCTATACCAGATTTGCATATCTTTGAATTATTTTTAGATTAGACTCTATATAATTTGTTTAGTTATCTGACCTTATAAAATAGAGGATTCTTGAAAGCTATTTTCACAATGACCACACCCCTTTGTAAAGTGGTCGACATATCAAAATGGTTTGTCCTCAGAAGCAAATGTATCCCACTGAATTCCTGAAAGCTCTTGGGGAATGTGGGGCAAAGGATTTCCAGTTAGTATCCATGGTGGTCCTGTCACTCTTAGGGATACAACGATGACTTAGAAAGTTGACATTATTGCCCCAGTCACCCTTTTCTATTGAACAAAGAGCCCATTTGGCTCTTTGGTTTATCTGGTTCTTGCGAGTAATCCAGCAGCATAGAGAGCGTACCAACTTGGTAGTAGAAAACTCAGGATGACTCTGACCAAACACACAGGTGTTCTAAAACCTACAGCAAGCTATGGCTACTTGGGATGGTCTATAAGTCAATTCAGAGTGTGTAAGTCACCCCCACCCCCATAAGCTTGTTTTAAAATTTTACTGTTATTGTGTGATACAGCCATCCCCACCCACCACACCATTATAAATAAGGAACAAAACTGAAATAGGGTTCAGCTGAAAGCAATGTGATTTTATTGTTGTAATGTAATTGTCGGTTTATATCATGTTCTACTATGTATATTGTTATTATATTTTGTAACCCACACAGAGAGACATTCTGGCTAATGCACAGAATGAAACTATAGTAATAAATTAATAAATAAATGGTAGAAGCAGGAGGAGAGGCAAGGCAAGACTGGATATAGTCGCAAGAACAGCAAATGTAAGCAGTGTGGGGAAGCCTTCATTGGGTCTTCCAGGGCTCCCAGCTGTGTTGCATGATTGTCAACAGTTGATCCTTGCAAGTGCCTACAGGACTAATTCTGTAAACACTTGCAGAGTGAACTGTGGTGTTCTTCGGCATCATGCCACCACAGGGAGGTGTACCAAGGATTCATTTGTTGTTTGTTTCTTTGGACAAGTATTCCCAGGTAACAGATTAAGCACAAAGTCTAAGTTGCCACTATGGGTATACTATTTCCAATAGGCATAAGTTCCAATTTTGATAGAATAACCAGATATATGTTAATCATGTTCAACAAAGTCAGAACAGGTGGATGGAGTTCCAAACTAAACAATAGAAGATCATCAGCACAGAGAATAACTTATTAGTCTAATGCATTATACACGTTTAAAATTATTATTTTAATGTTTATTCATTTAAATTATTTAATTATTTTAATTCTCAGTTTAGCAACAAGCCTCATGTCCTGTCACATAGACAGAAGAGTGGGCCAGTGGGGAGGAAGAAGTATCAATGGGGGTCAAGGGGGAAGAACTGATGGTGTGATCCTAGTTTGGATCTTCTCATCAGGTTCAGGCAAGGCAGTGAAGGTGCAATATCTAGGATCAGTATTTGGATAGGGCCAGCAAACTGAAGTGCAACCCAGACAAGATGGAGGTATGGTTGGTGGTCTGACCAGGGAAGTAACATTGGACTAGTTCTAGGTGGGATTACACTTTCCCTGAAGATTCATAGAATCATAGAATAGTAGAGTTGGAAGGGGCCATGAAGGCCATCAAGTCCAACCCCCTGCTGTTGTAGGAGACCACATTACACCATCCCACTCAGATGGCTGTCCAGTTTCTTTTTGAATGTCTCTAGTGTGGGAGAGCCCACCACCTCTAGGCAGCTGGTTCCACTGTTGTATTGCTCTGACAGTGGGGAAGGTTCTCCTCATGTCCAGCCTGAATCTGGATTATTACAACTTGATTATTCTGCATCAGACATTCTGGCATCAGCAAGAAGAGATCTTGACCTTCCTTTTTGTGACAGCCTTTGAGGTACTTATTGAGGGATATCATGTTCTCCCACCATGACCACCAGTCTGCTCTTCTCAAGGCTGAACATGCCCAGTTCTCTCAGTCTCTCCTCATACGGCAGTGTTTCCAAACCCTGGATCATTTTTGTTGCCCTCTGCTGGACCCTTTCTAATTTACCTGCATCTTTCTTAAATCTTGATGCCCAGAACTGGACACAGTATTCAAGGTAAGGTCTGACTAGTGCAGAGTATAGAAGAACTACTACTCATGATTTGGAAGTAATACTTCTGTTAATGCATCCCAAAATGCTTCAAGATCCATCAGTGATTCACAGCTTCAAGTTACTGATGGATCCAGGATTATCTGTGAGGGGCTGAGATGCATCCAAACCATGTAACTTCTTCCAGCAGTTTTAATTACCAACCATCAAGAGTATGTCACATCTGGCTGCTACCCTGTTTCAAAGCACAATTCAAAATATTGCTGATTACCTTTAAACCACTGTAATTTTTGGAGCTTAGACAAGCTCTAAAGCCTTCTTTTGCAGAAGCCTACCTGAATTTTGTACATTTCATTAAGACGCAGAGAGTAATTAAGAAATACTGCTTTTAAAAATAAAATAATCTGATGTACTAGGATCTCAAAATAATTCAACAAAGCAGCTTAAAAGGTGTTGGAGGGATGAGGCTTATGCCTAGAACTTCCCAGTACTGCTAGGCTGATGTTGCCTCTTTGCTTTCCACTCAAAAAGAAAAAAAGACCTAAAGAGGCCAACAATTTCTGTGAGGCTGCGGAGTTCTCAGTAAGGAAGAAACCAGCTGATCAACCATTAGCCTAGGAAGACCTGGTCACTCACCCTTCTAATAGTCCTTCGCAGGCCTACCCTGTTCTCTGTTCAAGAAACTTTCCAGAGAAGGGGCAGGGGAGGTTTGATTCACAGGTATCACCATTAAATTTGTATGAGCAATTTGAAACCACCTCAAGATTTCCCTTACACTTGTCCAATGGATGATTTCTAGCTTTGAATTTGAAATAATTTGACATCAGCTTTGAATTTGAAATCATTTGAAAAGGATCTAAATGATTCTACATGCATATTCTATTATGGCTGATCAAATTATTGTTTAAAAATGGATCAGAAATATCTGTATATTCTAGGCCACAAAGGGAGCTATGAATTGATGTCAGCTACAGAATCTGAATCTCTATCTGATCTTGAAGAAGTTGGTAAGTGAACAAGCTTGTAGCAGAGTACACAGAGTGGTGGTAATTTTACTTATCATACTTGCACAGACCTATTTCAAAGTGTGTGTGTGGAGGGCGAGGTCTTTGACAGAGAACGCAGAAACATAGAAACAGAGTGAGTCAGAAGGGGTCTCCCAGGCCATCTAGTCTGACCCTCGGCTCCAGTCGGCTCCTCTCATGACATGCCCACCATGTCCATGTCTAGCCTATCTTTGAACACCCTAACCGATGGGGCCTCAACCACCTCCCATGGAAGCCCATCCCATACCCTCAGGGTCCTAATTGTCAGGAAGTGCTTCATGGCATCTAAATGAAACCTTGTTTCCCTGGACTTTGCTCTGTTGGAGCGCATCCTGCCTTCTTTTGCAGGGGAGAACGGGTCTCTACCCACCTCCATATGACATCCCCTCACATACCTGTATGTCACCAACAGATCTCCTCTGAGTTTCCTCTTCTCCAGGCTGAAGAAACCCAGTTCCATCAGCCTCACCTCATACGGCTTCCCCTGAAAACCAGCCACCAACCTTGTGGCCCTAAGCTGCACTGACTCTAACCTTGCTATATCCTTCCTGTAATGAGGGGCCCAAAACTGAACACAATACTCCAGTTGCGGGTGCACCAGAGTCATGTAGAGTGGTAGTAATACCTCTCTCGATCTAGAAGCCACACTTCTGGGTATGCAACCAAGGGTGGCGTTTGCCCTCTTAACCACCGTGTCACACTGCTGACTCATGTTTAGCCTGCAGTCAACCAGCACCCCAAGATCCCTTTCACAAGTGCTGTTCTCCAGCCACTTGTCCCCTAACCTGTACTTATGACACCCATTCTTATGCCCCAACTGCAAGACCTTGCACTTATCCACATTGAACGCCATCCTGTTGTCTCCTGCCCACTTCCATAGTCTGTCCAGATTCTTTTGGATCTGGAGTACCTGCTCCTCAGTTGTGGCCACTGCCCCAGTTTTAGTATCATCTGCAAATTTGATCAGCAGACTGTTCACCCCTTCTTTCATGTCATTGATGAAAAGATTGAACAAGATCGGTCCCATGACAGAGCCCTGGGGGACCCCGCTTGTCACTGGCCACCATCCCGATGATTCCCCACTAATGGTTACCTTCTGCTTTCAGTCAGTCAGCCATGTCCTAATCCATTGGACAGTGCATTGGTCTATCCCAAAACTCCTCAGTTTCTCCACCAGGATATCATGGGGTACTTTGTCAAAGGCCTTGCTGAAATCCAGGTAAACCACATCCACTGCATCCCCTCCATCTAGCCACCTCGAAAATTTGTCGTAGAATTCTACAAGGTTTGTCTGGCAGGACCTGTTTTTGCAGAAACCATGTTGTGTAGCCACCAGCCTCCCTTCCCTATCTAGCACCACTAGATTGACAGAATTGACAGAATCACTAATTGACAGAATTAGGAAGATGGAAAGGGCCCACATAAGCACTTGCCTAAGCTAAATTTTGAACTCTTTCATAAATTAAAAAGTTATAAACATTTCAGAGGGGATAAAAGCATGCCACATATTAAGGATACACCTTTGGTATTACACTTTGCCTTCCCTCACACTCAAGAGCGTGCATATAAAGATCTTCCTTCCTGTGTTCATTCATAAGTAGATCCACTGTCCCTTGCTAGTTTTGGAAAGTCATTTTTACAGTTTCTGCATCTTCTCAGGCAAAGTCAGATGTGATGTTGAAATGCATCTTTGCATTTAGCATGCAAGTTAAATTTCCCTCTCCACATATGCTGCAATCACAATAATTATTCTTATCAATGTCATATGCATGTTTTAATATTTGACCCTACCCTAGCAATGGGGCCATCCATCTCTAGTAATGAGCCATCCTGAAGTAACTAGAAAATAAGTGGACTCTTAAAAATGCAGTGTTACCCTCAGAGACTGATAAATCTATGAATGTTATACATTCCGATGTGCATATGGAACCCCTTTATGCCTAAATGGACACATTCATTATTTGAAAGAAAAGAGTCCTATCACAAAGGTGTTGAAATGAATGGGCAGGCCTTTTAAGCAGGAATTTCCCTTGAAAGCAGGAATTCCATTTCCCATCTTGTCTTAATCTCAAGAAAAAAATTCTCAGTGTTATTTTTTCACTTCTTCAGAAGCATTTGATTAAGTTGCCATCTTCTAATAACCTATTTTCTTTCTTAGCAGGAGCAGTAGGTTATTCAGCAGACCTACCTATGTCTGATCGATTGCGCAGTGAGATGGCAACATACGTTAATATTCCTACCAGCCCCACATCAAAGAAACAACTTCATTACATGGAGCTGGAACTTCAGGAACCCACTACAAGCATAAGAGGTAAGGATCTTTGAAAAGGCCCGAGCATGTCACTGTTTTCCCTGGGAGAGAATTATCAAGAGAAAAAAACCTGAAGAATTATCAGAACAAAACCTCAAGCAGGGACGACACCAGTCTCCCAAACAATGTAGTTCTCCCTACAGCACAACCAGGGCACAGTGAGAAAGAACTTCGATGTCTACATCAGTGCCCAGAGTATGGGAAACAAACAACATGAATTTGAGCTCATATTATATGAGGGCAATTACGATCTTACAGGAATAACTGAAACTTGGTGGGATAACTCACATGACTGGAACTCTGCAATTGATGGATACAACCTGTTCAAGAAAAATACGAGGGGCATTCAATGTATTCTCGTTATCAGCATGAAGAAAAAGGAACAATAAATTGAAATAATTTTTATTTTTCAATGTAATCCCCCATAACTTCAATATACTTACTACATCTAGAAATTAACTTTTCAATTCCCTGTAAAAATACCCTTCCTCCTTGTCTAAAAAATGTGTGTTAATTGCCGCCTTGAGCTCTCCATCATCGGAAACTCGCTTTCCACAAAGATCTTTTTTTAAATCTGGGAATAGGTAGTAGTCACTGGAGACCAGGTCCAGGCTATGGGTGGGTGGTTTATTTCTTCGAAACCACGGTCTCGCACAGCAGCCTTCAAAACACGCGCCGTATAAACAGGTGCGTTGTCGTGAAGAAGCAACACACCTGCGGTCAGTTTTCCCTGCCTTTTTTCTTTAATTGCTTCTCTTATATTACGCAGAGTGGTTGTGTAAGATGCTGCATTTATGGTTTCACCTTTTTTCGTGTACTCGATCAATAAAATTCTAAAACACTGTGGCCATGATTTTTCCGGCCGATGGAGTGACTTTGAATTTCTTCGGAGGGTCAGCACCTTTTTTATGCCACTGCATGGACTCCTGTTTACTTTCAGGGTCATAGTGATGAACCCAAGTTTCATCTCCAGTAAAAATCCGGTCGAAAATACTTGATGGATCTTCACCACAGAGCTCTAAAAACTCCTGACAGCACTCGACTCACACTTGTTTCTGAGGCGCCATGAGCATTCATGGCACCCATTTTGCACAGACCTTTGAAAGGTTAAGATGGTCATGAAAAATAGTAAATATGGTACCAACGGATAGGTTTGTCATCTGTGCTAACATTTTTATTTTTATTCGGGCATCTTCCAAAACAAGTTTCTCCATTTTTTTCACATTTTCTTTCGTAGTGGCAGTAACCGGCCCGCCCGAGCAAGGGTTGTCTTCAATGCTTTCTCTGCCCCTTTTAAATTCACTTGACCACTTTTGAACAGTAGATAATAAGGGTGCAGAGTCCTGGTAAACGGCCACCATCTCTTCGTGAATGATTTTTTGACTTTTTCCTTGTTTTGTAAAGAACTTAATCACAGCACGGTGCTTGATTTTCTTCAACATTGTCGCGTCAGTCATTATGGTTGTCTTTCACTGAGGATTACTAGGGAACTAATGATCACATGTATTTGAAATTTTGCACATATACCATCAGATCGTGTCATTAGCTAATGAAATAATTAAATTACCCACATCAGTAGTAAATCAACCCGATACTGTTAATACATTGAATGCCCCTTGTAGAAAGGACAGAAAGGCAGCTGGAGTTGTACTATATGAAACAGACACACATATATGCACAGAAATACAAGAAGAGGAACTGAGTAGCCCCACTGAAAACATCTGGCTAAATTTAAAGGGAGCAAAAAATAAGAAATGCGTAGTTACTGGCATCTGTTACTGACCACCCAGTCAAAAAGAGAATTGGACTAGATGGAAAACCTATTTGGTGGATCAAAAATTGGCTGCTGAATTGGACACAGAGTGCTCATCAATGACACCTTCTCAGATTGGATGGAAATAACTTGTGGGGTGCCACAGGGTTCAGTCCTTGGCCCACTGCTCTTCAACATCTTTATTAATGATTTACCTGAGGAAGTACAAAGAAAGATAATCAAATTTTCAGACGACACAAAACTGGGTGAAATAACAAACACCCTGGAAGACAGAATGAAGATCTAGGGCAATCTTGATGAACTTGAACACTGGGCTGAAAGCAACAGAATGAAATTCAATAAGGACAAGTGCCAAGTCCTCCACCTAGGAAAAAGAAACCAAATGTATTGATACAAGATGAGGAATTTGTGGCTCAACAGAACTGGACAATGAAAAGATCTTGGAGTAATTGTGGACAATAGGCTGAACATGAGCCAACAATGCGAGGCAGCCGCCAAAAGGGCAAATGCTTTTTTGGGATGCATTAACAGAAGTATTACTTCCAAATAATGAGAAGTAGTACAGTGGTACCTTGGCTCACGAACTTAATCCATTCAAGGACTCTGGTTGTGACCCAAATTGGTCATGAGCCAAGTTAAATTTCCCCATAAGGTTCAATGTAAATAAGGTTAATCCATTCTGTAAATATTTTTTAAATCAGAAAAATGTGAAGCAAAGTGACAACAACAAAGATCGTGGCCATCTCCCCACCCCAAACACAAGCACCGGCATCTCCCCCCCCCCCCCCCCCCCCCAGCACGACCCAAATCACGCCTGTCATCCCTGCAGGCGCCCATCATCCCGGTGCACTGGGGGGTGCGGGGGAGAGATGGGCGTGATTGGGGGTGCACTGGGGGAGGGAGAGATGGGTGCAAACAGTGTGCTGGGGGTTGGGAGATGGCTGCGATCGCAGCTCCATTCATGCAGAGAAGGCATGTGTGATCAGAGGCACGCTGCTGCAGGAAAGACAGGCAGAATCTCAGCCATCTCTCCCGCAGCTCTGCTTTGCTGCTCCTGTCTTTCCTGCAGGAGTGCACCTCTAGGATTGTGGCCATCTCCCCACTTGGGGGGGGGGGGGAGATGGCCACGATCCCAGTTGCTTTCGTGCGGGGAAGACATGCATGATCAGAGGCGCACTGCTGCAAGAAAGACGGGAGCAGCAAAGCAGAGCGCGGAGGAGATGGCCAAGATTCCGCCTGTCTTTCCTGCAGGAGCGTGCCTCTGATCAGGCACGCTTTCCCTGCATGAAAGCAATTGGGATCATGGCCATCACCCCACTTGGGGGGGGGGGGGGGATGGCTGCGATCTTGGTCACCACCCAAAGCGGTGTTCTCGAACCAAGTCAAATTTTTTTCAGAAATTTTTGTTCATGAACCAAGACATTTGTGAGCCGAGGTACCACTGTAGTTCCTCTATACTCCGCACTAGTCAGACCTCACCTTGAATATTGTGTCCAGTTCTGAGCACCAAGATTTAAGAAAGATGCAGGTAAATTAGAAAGGTTCCAGCCTAGGGCAACAAAAATGATCCAGGGTTTGGAAACACTGCCCTATTAGGAGAGACTGAAAGAAGTGGGCATGTTCAGACTGAGGGGGGACATGATATTCCTGTATAAGTACCTCAAAGGTCAAGGGAAAGGTCAAGATCTCTTCTTGCTGATGCCCAGGGTGCAAGACACAGAATAATCAATTCAAGTTGTGACAACCCAGATTCAGCCTGGACATGAGGAAAACCTTCCTCACTGTCAGAGCAATACGACAGTGGAACCAGCTGCCTAGAGAGGTGGTGGGCTCTCCCACATTAGAGTCATTCAAGGCAAAACTGGACGGCCATCTGAGTGGGATGGTGTAACGTGGTGTCCTGGAACAGCAGTGGGTTGGACCCAATGGCCCTTCCAACTCATCTATGATTTTATGAAAATCTAGAATAGGTATAGGGGGACCAATCTGAATTAGGGCCATATCAGGAGATAAAGTTTAACACCCTCTTACAGTAGGTCCCTTTCTGGGTCAGGACCAACTCTAGAGTCAAAATAAAAACACAGAGCTGTTGTACATCAATTTAAAGGAATGTTATCTTGCCCCCTACTTTTAACTGCATAAGCACATGCTCTTTTCCTAAAGAAGGGCCTAGTCCAAAACTCCATGTTCAGAATACTAATTGTAACATTTACTTCCTTGTAACATTATGCACAAATCTGAAGAATGGGTACACAGATTCAGGGGAACTTGACTCCTGAAATATCCTCAAATATGATTTAAAGTTTAACCTCATTTTCCTCATGTATTTATTGAGGAAATAAAATATTAATATTTATCATTAATAATGGTGTATAATAATATTATATATGCCTCCCCAAGGTGACATAAAATAATAATTGTTGATCAGTCACAAAGTCATGCCTGACTCTTTGCAACCCCATGGACTTTTGCACTCTCCTCTTTCAACCGCATCAAGAGGCTCTTTCGTTCCTCTTCAATTTCTGCCATTAGAGTGGTATATCTGCATATCTGAGGTTGTTGATCTTTCTCCCAGAAATCTTAATTCTAGCTTGGGATTCATCTAGCCCAGCCTTTTGTATGATGTACTCTGCATATAAGTTAAATAGGCAGGGGGACAACGTACAGCCTTGCCATACTCCTTTCCCAAATTTGAACCAATCAGTGGTTCCATATCTAGTTCTCACTGTTGCTTCTTGACCCACATACAGATTTCTCAAGAGGCAAATAAGATGGTCTGGTACCCCCATCTTTTTAAGAACTTGCCACAATTTGTTGTGATCCACATAATTAAAGACTTTAGCATAATCAATGAAGCAAAAGTAGAATTTTTTCTGGAACTCCCTAGTTTTCTCCATGATCCAGTGTATGTTGTCAATTTGATCTCGAGTTCCTCTGCCTCTGCGAAACCCGCTTCTGGTAGTTCTCAGTTCACATACTGCTGGAGCCCAGCTTGTAGGATTTTGAGCATAACTTTAATAGTGGGTGAAATGAGTGCAATTGTACAGTGGTTTGAACATTCTTTGGCATTGCCCTTCTTTGGACTGGAATGTAAACTGACCTTTTTCCAGTCGCATGGCCACTGCTGAGTTTTCCAAATGTGCTGGCATATTGAGTGTAGCACTTTAACTGCATCGTCTTTTAGGATTTTGAATAGCTCACTGGAATACTTTCTCCTCCATTAGCTTTGTTGCTGCTCAGACTTCCTAAGGCCCATTTGACTTCACACTCCAGGATGCCTGGCTAGAGGTCAGTGATAACACCATTGTGGTTATCAGGGACATTATGATCTCTCCTGTATAGTTCTGTGTAATCTTGCCACCTCTACTTAATCTCATCTACCTCTGTTAGGTCTTGGCCATTTTGGTACTTTATCATGCTCATCTTTGCTTGAATGTGCCCTTCAGAACTCCAATTTTCTTGAAGAAAGCTCTAGTCTTTCCCATTCTATTGTTTTCTTCTATGTCTTTGCACTGTTCATTTAAGAAGAACTTCTTATCTCTTCAAGCTATTCTCTGGAATTCTGCATTCAGTTTGATGCATCTTTCCCTTTCTCCCTTGCCTTTCACTTCCCTTCTTTCCTCAGCTATTTATAAAGCCGCCTCAGCCAGCCATTTTACTTTCTTGCATTTCTTTTACTTTGGGATGGTTTTTGTTGCTGCTTCCTGTACAGTGTTGCAAACCTCTATCCATAGTTCTTCAGGCACTCTGTCTATCAGGTCTAATTTCTTAAATCTATTTGTCACCTCTACTGTATATTCATCAGGAATATGATTTAGGTCATACCTGAGTGGCCTAGTGCTTTGCCCTACTTTCTTCAATTTAAGCCTACATTTTGCAACCAGAAGCTCATGATCTGAGCCACAGTCAGCTCCTTGTCTAGTTTTTACTGACTGTATAGAGCTTCTCCATCTTTGGCTGCAGAGCACATAGTCAATCTGATTGATGTCCATGTGTAGAGTTGTCTCTTGTATTGTTGGAAAAGAGTGTTTGCCATGACCATCATATTCTCTTGACAAAATTCCACCCCCCTCTGCCCTGCTTCATTTTGTACTCCAAGGCCAAACTTGCCTGTTATTTTAGTCATCTTTTGACTTCCCATGATAAGGACATCATTTTTGGTGTGAGTTCTTGTAGGTGTTGCAGGCCTTCATAGAACCGGTCAACTTCAGCCTCTTCAGCACCAGTGGTTGGGGTATAGACTTGGACTACTGTGATGCTGAATGGTTTGCCTTGGATTTGAACTGAGATCATTCTGTCATTTTGGAGACTGTATCCCAGTACTGCTTTTCCTACTCTTTTATTGACTATGAAGGCGACTCCATTTCTTCTGAGGAATTCTTGCCCACTGTAGTATATACGATGGTCATCTGAATCAAATTCACCCATTCCTGTCCATTTTAGTTCACTGACTCCTAAGATGTCAGTGGTCAGTCTTGTCATCTCATGTTTGACTGTCCAACTTACCTTGATTCATGGATCTTACATTCCAGGTTCCTATGCAGTATTGTTCTTTACAGCATCAGACTTTCCTTTCACCACCAGATACATCCGCAACTGAGCCGCTTCATTCTTTCTGGCACTACGTGTACTAGCCCCTTACTCTTCCTCTGTAGCATACTGGACACCTTCTGACCTGAAGGGCTCATCTTCCGGCGTCATATCTTTTTGCCTTTGGTACTGTCCATGGGGTTTTCATGGCAAAGATACTGGAGTGGGTTGCCATTTCCTTCTCCAGTGGATCACGTTTTGTCAGAGTTCTCTGCTACGACCTGTCCATCTTGGGTGCCCCTGCACAGCATAGCTCATAGCTTCATTGCTATTCAAGCCCCTTCACCACAGCAAGGCAGTGCTCCATGAAGGGGATAATTAATAATAGAAACAAATTAAGTCTTTAAAAGCAAAACCAGAATAAAACAGTTATCAAATCAGCAACAGAGAGTGGGATGGAGAAGGAGGGGGAGAGAGAGCAAAATGTGGTCTGTGCACACAGCTGAGCAACTCTACGTATCTTGGAGTAGGGGATTAAGTGGTAGGGGAACTTGCCAGGAGTTATAGTGCATCCTTCCTTGTACTGTAGAGGGATGGTTTAGGAAAGACAAGAGATCCCAGTCTCCAGAAATGTTTCTCTTCCTCCCAGTATCACAATAAAATGTTTAGGCTTGGAGCTGCCAACCCTCTGGCACTATAGAGTTCAGGAGAGGAAGGCTTGGGAGGAAGAGGTGTTAGTGTCCTTTATCTGGAAATGTGTCCCATCCAGAGGGTTGAACAGCACTACAACAGAACAATAGTTCTTGCTCCAGGCAGCTCTCCTCCCAGCGAGAGGTGGGAAGGCACTACAGTATTGCTCTGCAGCTCTCGCTTGTAGAATTTTGAGCAACATAATCTGAACTATGGGTTTTATCTACATTTAAAGGAATTGTGCTTTGTTTTCCAGTACCAAAGGTCATAACTATTCTAAAACCAAGATCCAAAGCTGTGGGTATTAATGAAGGGGCTGTGTGACAATGCTGGATAGTGTTACATTATTACATAGTGAAGTTGCGTGAAAGTACGTGAAGAACTGGTAACACATACAAATGGCAATAATTTCATCCACAGGGAGTGAATCAACAAAGTATGCGCAGATTGACATTACAGCAACAGAGACAGCCCATAAAGTGGGGACACAACATGCACAGTTTCGAGAAGAACGCCTGCAAGAACTTGAACAGAAGAAGAAAAGCAGCCAAATGTCTTCTTTATAGGAAAAAAACGAATTAGCTATCTCCAATACAGTACTTTTCACTAAATGCTGCCATTTTTTTTTCAGATTTATACCAGATTCATTCCAATCTAATAATTTCCATTGGAAAGCTGGTAGCATGGTGTGTGTGTGTGTGTGTGTGTGTGTGTGTGAACACATTGCTTGTAAACATGTCCTGTAGATCATTTGTGTTGTAATTTTGTTAATATTTTGCCAAATCGGGTATCCTCTCTAAAAGATTTACAAATGGAGGCATTGAATTTAAAGCAATTTGAATATGTGATAATAAGGATGTAAATGTGGCTCTGTATACAAGAAGTCTATACAGTATGTATATGGACAAAATACTTGTTTTGTTAAGAGTTAAGGTGGCTTTTCATGTTATTTTTCAAGATGTCAAAGCTAGAATATCAGCAAATATTATGTTAGCATCAGAGTTTGTGGCTGGTGCTGCAAGATGGAAAATGGCTTGCACAACCCCAACTTTATTGCCAACTACTATTTGTTTACAGTCTATTTCTTATAAGCCATGGGTGGAAACCAAGCGTACTGCTCAGCTTGGAGAGCAGTTTTGATCCACCAGATGCCTCTGCTAATGCAGGAGGGGTGATTTTTGGCAATTCTCCCTTTTCCTGTGGCACATTCCACAGTGTTCTAGAGGGACCCCCATTCTCTGGGACAGATCTGGACAGAACACAGCAGTCTACAAAAATTGTCTCTTGCCTTTCCACAAGGAGAATTTATCTACCCAGGATGGTGGTGGTGGTGGTGGTTAAATTCATTTTTGTACTGCCCAATAGCCAAAGCTTTCTGGGTAGTGTACAACACTTCCTGGACCAGGATCACAATACAATAAGGTAACTTTATAAATGCAAAAATTAAAACCAATTGGACAGCTAAAACAATGTTTGATACAGAATAGACCTGAAATGTGTGCCCCTAATAAGTCATTAAATTACTTTATATGTCTTTAAATGCCTTGGCACAGAGGGTTGTCTTAAGATGGCAAAGGGATAGCAGAGTTGGCACAAAGCAAGCCTGTCTGGGAAAATTGTTCCAGAATCGGGGCTGCCACTTAGAAGCCATCCCTGTGCCTCCCTGAAGAAGGCTTCAGATGTTAATCATACACTCCACATAGATTTTGGTGGGGAGAGGTGCCACATCAAGTATTGTATTTCCAGGCCATGAAAGGCCTTATCATTTAAAACCTGTACCTTGAATAGGGTTCAAAAGATAGAGACAGCAAATGCAGGTAGGCCAGAATTCACATTACATGTTCAGAGCTTTTAGTCCCAGCTATTAATCTGGCTGTCATTTTTTACACAACCTGCAGCTTTTAAGCAGACTTCAAGGGCAGACCCGCATACAGTATATTGCAGTAAATCTTTCTTAGAGGATAGATTATTGAAACCAGACTATCTCTGTCCAGATAGAGGTGTAGTTAAGCCACCAGCCAAAGCTGGTAGAAGGCACTCAATGCCACTGAGGCCACCTGAGACTCATGTGACCCAGATGGCTCAAGGAGGACACCTGCTCCTCCAAGGGGAGTACAGAACCATCTGGAATGGGTTGAACTCTGTCCAGCTGGTCAGAAGAACCACCCACTCACAGCATCTCAGACTTGTTCAGATTGAGCTTCGGTCTGTTAGCCTTCATTCAGTCCACTGTCCAGTCCACCACCTCAGTCATGCACCATTTTAGCATATGCACAGCCCCACCTGATGGGGGTGAACAAGGAGAAGTAGAACGACATGGCATGATTGAAGTACATGGTTAGCATGTACTCTAAAATGCTGGATGACTCCACCCAGTGGTTACATGCAGATGTTGAATAGTAGGGGGATAAAATCATTCTCTGAGGAGCACTCAAAGATGCCGGAGAATACACAGGGTTGAGCAATATTTCCCAGGTACCATCTTCTGGAGCTGGTTATCCAAGTAGAAGCAGAAGCACTGCAATGCAGACCTTCCATTTCCAGTTCACACATTCACCCAAGAAGAATACCATGGTAAATGGCAGTGAAGGCTGCTGAGGATCCAGGAGTAGGGTCACAGCTCTCTCTCTTTCTAGCTGTCCTTGCATAGCTCATTATGTGTTAAAGAATGTACACATTACAGTGTAACAGTAAGATATTCCTGATCCTTTACCCGCTGCAGAAGGAGCATTGCTGCCAGTGTAGGCAACTGACCTGTCTGGCAGGTGGAGCAGTGTTTTGCCCCACTTCCTAGGCTCCCCCTACACTGTACCTTGGGTTTAGCTGTTGCCCAGAGCCTTGGTCTTGGCAACAGAGCAAGAAACCCAAGACAACAGCACTGACCTTTGGGTGGTGTCTTGGTTTTGTAGCTCACCAGATTATGTGGTAAACAAAATAATAATAAACTGAGAATACTGAAGTCAGCAAAACTACTCCAAGTAATGTGCTAAATATACCAGGCAAGGCATTGTACATAAATCAGCTGAATCTCTGGTTTACAGTAAAGACTGGACAAATCTATTATATCAGCTCAAATTGAATTTTATTTCTTTGGTGGAACCTTATGAAAAGCAACATGTCTGGCAATCTAATCTCTTGACAATATAGATGGTCAGTTACTTTTTTAAGGGTTTTTTTTTCTTTTTTCTTGTCTTTTCTTTTTTTACACAAAGCATTTTTCTACTAAAGCAATGCCCTGACCTTGTTTTGTTCATTTGTTTTGGAAGCAACTTGTAGCTCTGGATCTAACAGTACCATATTACAATGACTGGATGTTCATTCCAACTTTCCCTTTATCAAATCCAGCATGCTTTTTATAGTGTAGAGTCAGCTGAATATATTATTCTCGTCCACACTTGATGACCATGTCACTTTGTTTCTTTACCTCACAATGTATGTAGCTTTGGTTTGTTTTTACTGAATCGTGCAAGGGATAATTTATGCAGAATCAATGCTTCCTCTTGAAAATATGGATTTGCATTTGTATCTCCAAAGTTTCCCTCAAAATAGTGGCTAAAATAAACACGTAAAAGAATTATTATTACTCATTCAGCAATTATTTTATTATTTTGCCTATGACAATGGAACAATTAGCCAGGAGTCTACAATGTTAACGCACAGTAGAAGTTTAGCTGCCTACAAAGTGCTAGTTCCGTTCATGCTCATGCACATTATCCAGGGTGCACCTCAGGGGGTGAACTAGCTCCACACACATACAGGCCAGCTGCTGTCCAAGTTTTGTCAGCTTTTCCAGGCTTCTTCTGCCTCATCTCACATGCAGGCAGGTCCAGAACCGGCTTCTGCTTCTCCTCGCGAATGCAGCTAGCCTTTTTCCCACCAAAGTGGTACCCATCTAGCTACTCGCTTGCTTTTGAACTGCTGGGTGGGCAGAAACTGGAGGTGAATGATGATAGCTCACTTCGTCATGCAATGCAGGGCTCAAACCACTGGAGTATCTGCTGTTTCTAGTTGACACATCCACTGTCATTAAGCTTCTATGCCACCACACCTCCACTCAGCAATGTGTATAACTTTTTAGAAGAGTAAAGTCTCAAGAGCCAACTTTAACTGAAAAAACAGAGGTGGTGGGCATGATGGGAGAGTTGAGCCTGCCAAATTTGACTCAGACAGGTTCTCTCTCTCTCTCTCTCTCTCTCTCTCTCTCTCTCTCTCTCTCTCTCTCTGCTGTCAATCCAGCATCCTTTCCCCATCTGTACTATAGGCATGCTAACACTCATCTGGTTCCCCTTGAGCATTTGCCCTTGTAACCAGGCCCTCAGCTGCTACAAGGCCATTTATGATTCAAAACAGAAAATGTTTGTACAAAGAAGACTTGAAGCCTTCAAGAAAGTGACTTCAGTAGTAACACCCACCCCCACCCCTCCAGCAGCACAATCAAACTCTCCAGCACCAGGTCCATCTCCATCACCATTAGTTAATGTTAGGCTTACTGTTGCCTCATGGATATGAATAAAAACAGAATTTCAAGCTTTAAGACAACAGCAGGTGAGTAGAGAGAAATCATCTGGGCACCTCTGCTTCTGCCCTTCCCAGAAACTGTTTTGCTGTGGTTCTGCTTCATCCTTGAAGCCCTAGAAATGTACCCAGAAACATACTGGCTTGGGTATGCTGCGGAACAAAAAGCCGTGAACATTACGAGGAAGTGATCTGACCATGACAAAGGAGTTAAGGTCAGATTTCTCACATCCAGACCACCCTCTTCCTGCCCTGTCAAGAAAACCAGGTCCAGAGTATGAACTCTTTCGTGGATTGGGCCAATGACATGTCGAGACAGCCCCTGGACAGAACAGCCTCAGCATGGAAATTGAGGTCCCCCAGTACCAACATCCTGGGGGTCATCAAAACCAGGTCCGAGACGATCTCCATCAGCTCAGGCAGGGAGTCTGCTGGGCAGGAGGGTACACCAGCAAAATCCCTAATCTGTCTCGATTGCCCAACCCCAGGTACCAACACTCTAGGCCTGGTCTCGAAGGGACAGGAAGCCCCGCAAGGGAAATTGAGTCTCAGAAAACTAGTGCGACCCACCCTCTCTCCTCTGGGTGTGGCTTGTGCTCCATTAAATATCTGGTCACGCAAAGTTATGAAAGGGAAACATTTCCCCCCTCTACCATCCAGGTCTCCATTATATATGCCAGGTCGGCCCCCTCATCCACAATTAAATCGCGAATGTGGAATGTTTTATTATGAACCAAGCTGGCACTCAGTAGCAGCACCATCAGGCCCAGGGGGCGATTGATATCGCTCCCAGAAACCTTCTGTCTGGGGGAATAACCGGAAGAGGGGACAGAGGTTAAGCATCAGTCCCTCCTTCTCCTATGCTGGCATGTTAGACCCCCCAATGCCATATCTTCCCCTGCCCATCACCACCCCAATAGTGGTGCCCAGTTGCTCCCCAGGCACTGCCATCCTAATTAAAAACTAAAACAATAAAACACAGTTGCAACAAAAGAAGACAGAAAAAGAAGAAAACGGACAGCAACTCTGACCCAGCCCAGCCCTTAACGGCCCCTAACGGCCCCAAATGGCGGCACATGGTCCTTTGGCTGTCGCCCTTCGGCCGCCGGCCCGTGGCCAGCTCTGCACCCAGCACAGCACAGCTGCCCCCTGTGCTCAGCAAAGGGAGCGAGGGCGTGGCCTGCGGAAGCCCTCCCTGCGGTGCAGATGTCGGCAGCGGTGGCTCCCCTCTCCTTTCCTCTTGCTGTGCCCGAGGGCGTGGATCGGCAGCGAAGGTCAGCAGGCCGGTCAGTCCGCGATGTCTTGCGGTGAGCCCCTGCGGTGAAACTATTTCTGGAAGTTTCATTTACTGTATTGTAATATTACTAAATAATCACTATGGAATTGGTTGCATTAATATTTTATTGTTAAGATGTCAGTACATTTTTTTGGAAAAAAAACCCATATTTCACTTTATTTTAATTTGCAGTTCCAGCTGCTGGTCTTTGTTCTGATGGATACAGTTAATTCCAAATAGATGAACTAGGAATAGATGACCTTTAGGACTGAACACTTCATGCACTTATTGGAGAATAAGCCCCACAGAAGTCACTAGCACTTAGCACCCACTCCTATGGCCTCTCAACCTTGTGTGGGAGATCGCAGGATTTTTGGAGTTTGAACCCTGAAGTCCTCTAACCTTGTGCTTGGATTCTGAAGGCCATCCCCACACCCTTCTTCTTCATAACTGGCAGAAATAACTGTGCTAGCTCTCCACCTCCCATCTGTAACTAGGCAGAGGGGAGAAAGGGGGCATGCTGGTGGGGGGGGGGAGAGGAGGTAGCTCAAGCCCCAGCTCTGCCCATTCCACTTGGTGCTTCAACTGCCTTCTCTCCCCCATGCCAGTTCTAAATCTAGAGGACCAAAAATAAAATGCAAAGGACAAGGCATGGTGGTAGTGGAGGCTTACAAACATCTGTAATGAGAGCAATAGAATCGCACCCTCCCATAACATTTCCAAGGGGAAATCATGCCCCTTGTTTAAAGCATGACAGTGAAAAGAATGGGCAAGAGAGAGATGTTGCACTTGCTTCCAGCCTGTGGGTTTCTCACAGGCAGTTGATTGGCTGATCCATAACAGAGTGTAGGGCTAGCTGATCTAGCAGGGCTCTTCTTAAGTCAGGGGAAGCTGTGTATATGCACTGAAGTTTTCATGTCCATAAGAAATCACAGAAGTGGGGCGTTTGAACATGACCTTTGGAACATCGCCCTGTGTTTTTTTCAGAAGCTGCCAAAACAAAAATCCCATGATGGCCTTTTCTACCAAGACAGAATTCTCTTGCATTCAGTACCTACACATCCAATGAAGTACATCTGTACATCTTTGTCTGCATTTATTTGAATGTTAATGCTTTAATGTTTAATTTGTTCCAATTTTAATAGGTTAAATGTCTTGCATTTTTCTGTTTGATGAAACAGTAATGATTAAAAAGGCTACAATAATATCATGTAAATAAATCATTGAGCCAGTGTGGTGTAGTGGTTAAAAGCATGGAACAGGGACTCAGGCGATCTGGGTTCTAGTCCCCGCTCAGCCATGGAGCCAATTAGGTGACTTTGGGCCAGTCACAGACTCTCAGCCCAACCTACCTCACAGGGTTGTTGTTGTAAGAATAAGATGGAGGAGGAGAATGATGTAAGCTGCCTTGAGCCCTTTGTAGGAAAAAGGCAGGATATAAATCGAAAAATAAATAAATAACAATTTTTTAAAAAATGCATTACCACCAACCAAATATCAGTGCATTGCATCCTGGACTTTAACAACTATAGCAGTATACCTTATAAGTATCCACATGTCTAACTTAAAATACTGAAATTTATAGGAGTCCTATCTTGTAGTTATGTAGCCAAAACTATATTTTTCTTGAATCCATAACATTTCACAACTAGGGAACAGTCTTCCACCTGCTGACATGCCTGTTGTGCCAGAAAACTTTATGGTAAAGTTTTAATATCCTTGAAACCTTAATTCTAGAAATGTTTTATTCTCAACTGTAGAGTAATACAATCTATGATTTATAGTTTATTGTTTTCTCTTTTTATATCTACCACTTTACAAAATAGTTCCTTACAATGCCAGGATTACATACTTGGGTGTGTGTGGAGGGGAGGGGACTAAGTGATCTTTCTTTTATTCTTGAAGTAATTTCCTTCTGGATACATTCATTGCACATTGTTCAGGATGGCTGATTAGCATATCAATCACACCCTTCCTCCAACTATTCCTCTCATGGGCTCTCAAACTACAGCCTGCATGCTCATTTATCCGGCCTGCCTTAGAGGTTTTGGACTCACTTGGAGAAAACGAGCGAGGCGGCTGCCGCTTGGCCAGAGAAGGTCATGGCGAAGGCGCAGAGGCGGTGGCCTTCTATGGGCAAGCCGCCACCATCAAACAGCCACCATGCTTCTTCCCCCTGTGGTGGGGAGAGTTGGGAGGCGCCCTGCTCAGCCAGCCTCTCTCAGCCGGGGGGAGCCACCCCGTGCTCACCTTTCCAGTCTCCCACACCTGATCCCACCTGAACCGGGGTGGTGGCGAGGACTATAATTTCCATTATGCCCAACCGCATGACCAATGGAAGTTGTAGTCCAGCTCATCTGGACAGTATCAATACTAAGAGTGGCATTAACAGTATTTATCCTTAGTATTTTTGCTTCGTTCTTTGTAAATGCCAGTTGCAGTCATCAGCTGCATTATGCAAAATGCTATATTTAGTGCCTTGGTTGTGTTGTAGCTATGTCCCTTGAATGTGGACATGCTCTTCCCCTCTCATCTTGGGATTCTGCTGCAGCCCGAAGGAGCAGAGCAAACTTTTTAAAATTAATTTTAATTTTAATTAATTTTTAATGTGCAGTGTGCATAGGAATTCGTCCATAGTTTTTTCAGACTATAGCCTGGCCCCTCAACAATCTGAGGGACAGTGAACTGGCCCCATCTTTAAAACGTCTGAGGACCCCTGCTCTAGTCATTTAAGCTAAGGACGCATATGATTGCCTTGAATTCCACACATATCAATGCAGAAATGCAATGGAATGCTGGGATGCTACTAACAGTTTTTCTGCATGAAGATTTTAACCCACCACTTTACTGAGGCTTCTGTTTCTGGGTTATTTGTGGGATTAAGATCAGCTCCTTTCATATGTTTTTTCCCAGAGTTTTGCTTTCTCTGCCTTTCTATATGTTGTATTGCACAACCACTAGGTGGTGCTCTGGTGTAGATTGATTGCACAAATACACAAGGCTTTCATTCTCAGATAATGCCAGACATTCCTCAATTGAACAAAAACTGAGCAAATGCTTGCAAGGAGCAGGTAAGGCCCTGGATGTCAGCAAGTAAAATAGATTAAAAACATTAAAATTAGTGAGATGTTAAAATGTATCACATGAAAAAAATGTACAAAACCATACACAACATAATTAAATACAACCAAATGAATTATATAAACAATAACAAAATGCAATTCAAATTCACCAAAAGCTTGTTTGAACAAACAAGTTCTTGGTTTCTAAAGAAAGCAAAGTTGATGCTAGCCATATGTTCCTGGGGAGCAAATTCAGAGTCTGGGCACCACTACGGAAAATGTCTCCCTCCTAGCCCTTTCCCCCTTGATCTCACTGGGGGGGCAGATATTCAGAGGAAGACTTCAGAGTAAGATCTAAGTGGGTGTGTCGGTATATACAGAGACAGGTGCTCCCTCAGGTACCCTGGTCCCAAGCCATTTAGTGCTTTGTACATCAAAGACAACACTTTGAATTGGATCTGGACTGGAACAGGGAACCAGTGCATCTGACAGAGGACTGGCATAATATATTCTCAGTTGCTGATCCTTGTAAGCAGCCTTGCTACCTTGTCCTGAATTAGTTGTAATGTCTGGACTATTTTCAAATATAGTCCTACACACAGTGCTTTACAAGAGGTTACCAGCATGTGTTGTTGGCAAGGCTCCACTCATCCAAGTAGCTGAGAAATCATCCAAAGCTGATTGAATAAAAAAATTGAAACTTAATTCAGACAAAATGGGGTGCTGTTGAAAGGTGTATCTTCTGTCTAGGTGGATGGTATCTGTCCTGTTCTGGGTGGGATTGCACTCCCCTAAAGGACAAGGTGCAGAGTTAGAGATGCTCCTGGACCTGGAGCGCTCTCTGGAGTTTCAGGTGGGCTCTGTGGCCAGGAGTAGCTTTTATGAGCTTCAGCTGATGCATCGGTTGTGTGCTGACCTGCACAGGCAGAACCTAGCAACAGTAACCCAGCCCCTGGTAACCTTGCATCTGGACTATTGCAATGCATGCTATGTAGGGCTACCCTTGAGAAAGTTCGGTTGGTATAAAATAGGGCAGCTCACCTACTAACAAGGACTGGTAGGCAAGACTATATCACACCAGTCCTCTATCACCTTCACTGGTTACTTATTGAAGTCCAGGACCACTTTAAGGTGCTTACATTGATATATATAGATGGCAAAAGAAGGAGGGGACGGCAGAGAATGAGGCGGCTAGATGGAGACACTGAAGCAGTGGGTGTGAGCTTGAGTGGGGGATGATGGAGCATCATCCGGGGGATGGTGGAAGACAGGAAGGCCTGGAGGAATGTTGTCCATGGGGTCGTGGTGGGTCGGACACGACTTTGCGACTAACAACAATTGATATATAAGCCCGAAAGGGTTTAGGCCTGGATATCTGAAGGAATGTCTCCTCCCATATATGCCTACTCAGACCTTAAGATCATCCACTGGGGTCCTTCTGTGGGAGCCATCTATAAAAGATTTAAGAAGGGTGGCTACTAGGTAAGAGCTTTTTCAGCTATGGCTCCCCAGTTGTGGAATCAGCTCCCTGGCACCGAGTCTTCATGCTTTTTGGCACCAGACTAAAACCTTTTTATTTGCCCAGTATTTTGTTAAACAAGGAAATGCTAACAATTTTATACTGTCTTATACTGTTGGATTGCCATTAATTGTTTATTGTATTATGTATTTTATTTTGGCTTAGGACTAGTACATTAGAGTTGATATGATATGGTAGTATATGATGTGATCATATGATGTATGTTATTTTGTACTGTTTTATTGTATTGTAATATTTACTTTTTACTGTAAAACATTCAGAGAGCCTTCTGGCTAGTACAAATGGTATAAAAAAGTTCCAATAAATAAATGAATTTCACAATAAGATGATATAATTTTGAATTCATTTTCTTACAGCAACTCTGAAGGTCAGTTAGTGATGTTAACCCCATGTTGAAGACAGAGGACAGAGTTTGGAAGAGTGTGACTTGCTGAATGCCACCTACTTTGTGATTAAGGTGACATTTGAAATGGACACTTCCCCACAGAGCATCCTAAGCTCCTGCATCGCAAAGTGTGCAGAAGCACCCCATTCACACAACCTTCACGTTTCTCTGTATCATTGGAACTGATCAGTCTTTAAAAAATATGATGGGAATAATAATTCAGGATGGTTGAATTTCTTCTTTCTTCTCAAAATGTCTGTGCAATTTACTTCTCACTAAACATTTTCCCAGTCTTTGACAGCTGCAATGGATTGAGGGACGACTTGATTTGGGGGCTCCGGATCCAAAAGGGGCTGAACTTGATACAGTCAGGAGGAGAACTGCCCGGTGACCTGTTCGCTAAGGAACTTCAAAGATGATTCCTATAGCAATGCTGCCCTCTCGCGAGCAATCCTGCCATTGCCAGGACGGCCCCAAAAAGCCTTTTCACAACGCCCGACGGTGACTCCCGTGTAGCTGAAAAGCTTGCGGGTTCCTACGAACACGCCGCCATCAGGGCAGCCGGTGCCGCAGACCTCCCCGCTCCTCCGCCGGAATCGTTCCTTTCCCATTGCGGCCTGCACAGCTCTCGGCGGCGGTTGCTTGCGAAGCGCAGGCAGACGCCCGTCAGTCAACGAATCCTTAGGGCCATAACTGGGGCGGCCAGCAGCCGACGAGGCTTTCAGGGAGGGGCCCTGCTTCGCTGCCAGTAGAACAGCGGGGACACAGCCGCGAGGCGGGCCCTGGCCGCGGCTGCCGAGCCCGAAGCCCCGCGCTCGCTCCTTGCTTGCCCCGCGGCTGCCCCTCCCTGCCTGCCTGCCTGCCTGCCTGCTCCCGCTCTGAGGAGGCGCACCCAGTGCAGCTACTGGGCATGCTCCGAGGGAGACCGCCGGGTCGACGCTCGCGGCTTGCCTTCGTCCGACCGCCGGCAAGAGCGCAGGGCAGGGAATAGAGCCGAATCGGCGGTTGTGATGGAGGTGGGATGCGCCGCGGCGGATGCCCGGGGAGAAGCGAGCCCGCCGCCCCGAGCTGAACGGTACCAGACGCGCGGCGCTGTCAGCGGGCGGCGTGGCTTTGAAGCCCCTCGCGTGCCCTGAGCCCCACCCGCGCGCCCGCCCGCCCGCCCTCCGATGGCTGGCTCTCGTCTGGGCCGGGGAACGTGGCAAGCAGCCCGCCCGGCGACTGCGCCCCCGGGAAGCGGGACTTGCCGGAGAGGCGGCATGTGACCCCCTACCCCGCTTGGGCCCGTGCCTGGCGAAGGGCCGCGTTTCCCGGAACGTCCTTGCGAGTGGTTGCCTGAGCATGCAACGCTGAGCCGTGCACGCCTCCTTCACTCGGGGATGGAGACATCCATGCCCAGGCCCAGCTCTGATGGGGCTGACCTGAGGACGGCGGGGAGGTGCCCGGAGTTCCCCTTCAGTCTCGCCTCGGCTACGGAGGTGCCTCGGAGCGCAAGCGCGGGCTCGCACAACCGCTCCCTCGCGGTGCTTTTCTCCAGCCCCGAGCCCGCTTTCTTGCCAACGGCAGTCTACTCCCTGGCGGCCGCGGCCTGCTTGGCCGCAGTGGTGGGCTTCCTGATCCTCGTCACCATCGTGGGAAACGTGCTGGTGGTGGTGGCGGTCCTGACCAGCTCCGCGCTGCAGGCGCCGCAGAACCTCTTCCTTGTCTCCCTCGCTAGCGCCGACATCTTAGTGGCCTCACTGGTCATGCCCTTCTCCTTGGCCAACGAGCTCATGGGCGGCTGGTACTTCGGCCAGGCCTGGTGCAATATCTACCTGGCGCTGGACGTCTTGTTCTGCACGTCCTCCATTGTGCACCTCTGTGCCATCAGCCTGGACAGATACTGGTCTGTCACACAGGCCGTGGAGTACAACCGCAAGCGGACCCCTCAGCGCATCAAAGGGATCATTCTCCTGGTCTGGCTGATCTCCGCCATCATCTCCTCGCCCCCGCTGATCTCCAAATACTGGGAGCCCGAGGGGGACGCCCCCTCGGAGTGCAGGCTCAACGATGAGACTTGGTACATCTTGTCGTCGTGCATCGGCTCTTTCTTCGCCCCGTGCCTCATTATGCTGCTGGTCTATGCTCGCATCTATCGCGTGGCCAAGCTAAGGACCCGGACGCTCTCTGAAAAGCGCCCTCGGCCAGACAGCCCCTCCAACCAGACGGAGAACGGCTTGGCGCCGACGAGCGGCGTCTCCGCGCCCGTGCAGATGCAGCCGCGGGAGTACGGCCAGTGCTCCGGTGCCCGCCGGGGGAAAGCCTCCGAGCTGGAGGACGTGGAGCCAGAGGAGAGCAGCACCTCGGAGAGCAGGCACCGGCAGAGCAGAGACGAGCCGCGAGCCAAGCCTAGCAAGAGGCAGCCATCCTCCTCCTGCTCCTGCGCCTGCTCCTCCTCCTCCTCCTTCTCTAGGCGGTCCAGCAGCCGCTCTGTGGAGATCTTTTCCTCGCATCGCAGAAAACGCGGCAGCTTCTGCCAGAAGAGCATCAGCCAAGCCCGTGAGAAGCGGTTCACTTTCGTCCTGGCTGTGGTCATGGGAGTCTTTGTGGTCTGCTGGTTCCCTTTCTTCTTCAGCTACAGTTTGCACGGCATCTGCAGAGAGGCCTGCGAAATCCCAGAGACGCTCTTCAAATTCTTCTTCTGGATTGGCTACTGCAACAGTTCCCTCAATCCCGTCATCTATACCATCTTCAACCAGGATTTCCGCAGATCTTTCAAGCACATCATTTTTGGGAGAAGGAGGAAGAACAAAAAGCGGCTTTTCTTCCTGCATTGACTTCAGAATGTGGGGGAGGAGTGAAGGGTCCCTGAGCCAAGCCCCAAGGTTGGACATTAAGGGTGACATTAAGAGGGGCAAGGGGGGTGGGCAAAAAAAGAGCTGAACAGCTGAAGGAGCCCTCCCTTTCTCCTGCCCCTGAGAAAGTGCAATCTGGGCTGGCACAGTCAGGCAGGGCTCCACAGGACGCCAAAACGGAGGAGCGGGGAAAGGGAATAATCCCAATTATAAAACTGGTGTGGCCGGAGGAAAGGACTATGCAAGAGCTGTGGCCATGTGTAAGGATGCAGAAAGTGATGTGTTCTTAGGAAATAAGCTGGGCCTGGGCTGGGGTTGTTTTAAGCAAACACCCCTCATTTTTTGAGAAGCAAATGAAGAAAAGGAGTCAGAAGTTTGCCTGCTGTCAGGCACTATCTTTCTTACTTGAAATAATTTATATATTTGCCAGAACCGTGCTAAAGAATAATTTAACCATTCCCCCCCCCAAAAAAATAAATGTTTCTAATATGTTCTAAACCTTGCTGAAATGCGGCTCTTTCCTGGTGTCCAGAGGTCACTACTAGTCTAAAACTAGATTTGCTTATAGGTACTTTTCACAAATGGGCAGAGGATGCCATGCCCTCATGTTTAGGTGAACTGGGATCTCCAGAAGCTTGTTATTTTCTGGTAAACTCATAATCTAAACTACACAGATCTTTAGTGAGTTACAGTTATTGTTCTCTCTTTCCCCTGCTCCCTTCCTCTGAAGATTTATATTATGGATTCATGATTCCAAATCTGTTTTACAAATGACAACTATTTTCTCAGATTATTTATGAAATCCTTTAATAGCAAAGTGCAATGGGGAACTAACAGAAAATCCATTGAAAATATTTCTAGCTATCTCTTTCTCTTCCAACTCCATCTAGCCCAAAGTTCACTGATGGGAAATGTCTGTAAGTGCAAAGGAAGAACTGCTGAATTATATTATACATATGAAATACATATATTATGTCTATATAATATATGTATATTATGCATTATGTATGCTATACACACACACTAATACATGCACGCACACATGCACACATGTCATATCACCTTCCTCCTAAGATAGGATTGCTTTATTTACATTTTTATACTACTCAGTAGCCAACCTATTTAGACTTTTCTGTTGTAAACAACTCTTTGAGAGTAAACTAAACTTAACGGAATAAAGCTGGTCTCTTGAGTTACCCAAATTATTTGAGATACCAATTCCTCTTCTGTTTCTCCTTTCCAAGAAATAGATCTTGACTAAAACTCCTCAGCTCATTTAGGGGTGCAGAGCATGCACTGCTCTTCCCTGGACGTCTCGATAGCATTTGTTTGTTTATTTATTTATTTATTTATTTATTTGTCTGTCTCAACTTACATGCCACTATAACTAGTCTGAAGATTCTCTAAGCAGATTACAACAATTTTACATAAAATAACATCAAATTTTAAAACACCCATAAGCAACATACAATAAAACAGAGAATATGTAGCTGAGGGGTCAAGTATCAATATGTTAAAATAAACTAAGACTAAAAGTAGTATAAATAACATCATAATATAAAATCAATTGTTAAAATGTCTGGAGAAGAGGACTGTTTTCACCTGGTGCCAAAAAGATTGTAAAAATGGTGCCAGACAAACTACGTTTGGAAAGCCATTCCATAAATGGGACCCAGCCCATTTATATGACTGCCATTAAAGTCTTACCATACTGCACTCGGCCCTGCCCTGTTTTTCTTGTCGCAGTGTTTGTATAGTTCGTTCAGGAACAGGGCCAGCACAAGACCTTCTGTGGCTAAAGGTTTTATCACCTCCTTCCCTTCTCTCCCCCATGGTGAGGGTGGCAGCAGTGGCCATCTTCTCCTCCCTTCCTGATGGTGGCTGCAGCTGCAAGCAGTGGCTACCCACTCTATTGCCCTTTCATCTATCCCTGTAGCTGTGATAACAGTGGTAGCACCCACTTGGCCTCCCTCCTCTTCCCTCACTTTCTCTCTGGTGATAGTGGCGGCTGCACAGGCAATTTCCATGGCCACCTCACCAGTACCTCATTCTAAAGAAGGACCTGCGGAGTAAACCATTTGGGCTAGGCTCTCTGGAAAGTCTAACCAATCACTCAGACTTTCCAGAGAGTCTGCTCACCTGATGCAATGTCTTGAACTGATGCATGGCTCCTCAGTGCAAGGCAGCAGGTGGGTGGCATTCCAGAGAGCTGTGTCAGTACAGCTGTCTGGAGGACCGGGCAGTGCATATGGTTCTCCTAGGAGCAGAATCTGCCACCCTTCAGAATCCATTGCTTGAGGCTGGAGCTTCACCTTGCTTCATGGAACGGCCAACCTTGCCTAGGAAGCAGTACTAATTTGGTTACAATCTCCACTTACGCCTTTTTTTCTAATGCCAGATATGGGATAATAATAGCATGGTGACATGGGCTTAGACAGGAAGTAGAAAAAGAAGGCAGGGGGCGTTGTAGGGAAGGGAAAAGAAATATGTATGGGTTCAGACTATTCTTCTCCAAATATTTGGCCAGTGAATATCAGAAAGGAGACAGGAAGATGCAGGAAGCAGTGCTGAGCAGCATTGCTGCATAGAACCCTAGGGAGGACAGGCTTGAATGGAATGCATTGCATTAGCACAGCTGGTAAGAATCCCTTTATCTAGATGCACTGGGATGTGAGACATAATGCGCTATTGTCTTCTGGGTGCTTGCTTTCTTTGAGGTGATGGCAGCATATCATATACTTTGTGCACAACCATATGTCTGCGAGTGAATAATATGCAGAGGCTTATAGTTGCGGTGATGCCTGCTGGGGAAAACTGGTGTGGACATGGTCTTCCACCACTTTTAAATCTAAATTGGACCCTCTTCACGTGGAGCCACATGGGGTTTTCAGTTAACTTACTGAATCAGTAGTCAATGCAAACATGCATTAGCTTAGGCTAGTGGCCAAAACAGTTGTTGTTGTTAGTCGGGAAGTCGTGTTCGACCCACCGCGACCCCATGGACAACATTCCTCCAGGGCTTCCTGTCCTCCACCATCCCCCGGAGTCCACTTAAGCTCACGCCGACTGCTTCAGTGACTCCATCTAGCCACCTCATTCTCTGCTGTCCTCTTCTTCTTTTGCCATCTATTGTTCCCAGCATTAGGCTCTTCTCCAGGGAGTCCTTCCTTCTCATTAGGTGGCCAAAGTATTTGAGTTTCATCTTCAGAATCTGGCCTTATAAAGAGTAGTCAGGGTTGACATCACTTTAAATGAATGTCTAGGAACAAGAGACTTTTCCTCACCATGTCTATTCTAGAATAGGCACAAGGACCCAAATGCAGCTTGCGCCTTGTGTGTGTGTTTGTGATTTCAACAGCTGGACCACCTGTATTTAGTGTAGAGTAATACTGGCAAGAAAGCAAATTGGTTAGACACTCCTTTGAAGTAACATCTGTTTTGACCCTTAGATGCAGAAGACTCGTTGAGTGGAGTAGCTAATTCCATGTGCTGATAAGATTATCAACCAACCATTTGTTTTTGTTTTTTTTTTAACTACACCATTTATTTACTTTTTATCTGCCCACTAACTGATGTTCTCTCAGCAATGTACAACCAGTTAAGGAAACTAAAATCTCATTTTAAAAGAATTTTAAAAATAATATACAAATACTTAGAAGAATAAAATACAACATGGTGAACAACAATCAGCACAGTGAAAAAACAGCATAATATTCTTATAAAATCTCATTCTCTAAAAATTCCTGAGAGAAAAGAGAAGGTCTTTGCCTTGCTTGGAGAGCATATTCTGTAAGTGGGATGCCTCCATTAAGAAGGCCCTTCTCTTTTTTTTTTTATAATAAGTTTTATTCAAAATAACCCTAATACAAAGAAAAACTAAAAACAACATCAATCATCAGAAACATCGGACCTGCTGGGTCAGCCCCCACATTTTTTCTATTTATGATAACTTGAAAACATATTTGAATCTATACGAAGTCCCGCTTCTCTAGCCAGTAATAAAAAGAGTCCCAAGTTTGATAGAGATCAGTATCTTCTTTCTCCTTCAATGACAAAGTCATTTCTGCACAGTCCAAGATCTTTTTTAGGATCAGTTCATCAGTGGGTGGTTCTTCACTTTTCCAGTGTTGGGCAAATACAATCCTTGCCACAGTAATTACATGTAAAATCAAGTACATTTCTTGTTTACTAATATCAACAGGTATAATGCCTAATAAGAAAATTTTAGGTTTAAAAGCTAAGGGTTTTCGTAACATTTCCTCAAGCCATTTATGTATTTTAATCCAATACTTTTTCGCATTATCGCAAGTCCTCCACATATGATAGAAAGTACCCAATTTATGTTTACATTTCCAACATCCATTTGACATATTTGGAAACATCTTGGCTAGTCTATTTGGTGACAGATACCATCTATAAAACATTTTATACAAGTTTTCTTTATATGAAGTTGCTAATGTTACCTTAATATTTCTTTCCCACAGCTTTTGCCATTTTTCTAATTCAGTATTATATCCAAAGTTTTGTGCCCACATTATCATAGTTTCCTTAACCTGTTCATCTTCCATTCTCCTATCTAGTAAGAAATTATATAGTCTTTTAATCATTTTCTCATCTGATTTAAGCATCGCCTGATCAAATGCTGTTAAATCTTTATAAAAGCCCCACATTCTATAGTCTTTAGCATATCTCGATTGTATCTGCACCTTATGCCACCAAGAAATATTAGATCCTTGTTCTTGTATTTCTTGATTCAATTTCAATCCTCCATTATCCAAAATGTCATCATATCTTACGATCACTTCAAAGTTCAATGCATCTGGATATACAAAAGCTTCCATAGGTGAAAGCCATCTTGGTAATTTATTGTACAATTTCATCTTTAACTTTTCCCACACCGATATTAATGATTTCCTAATAAAGTGACTTAAAAAAGAACCATGTGACTTAGCCTTTTCATACCACATATAAGCATGCCAACC